TTGAGTGAGTTCCCTCGCAAACGGCTGTGGGGAGTTCACTGATTTAGCAAGGTTTGGGTATTGGAAACCGCCCATAAAGAGGACATGTGTATTATCAGCCAACACACTAACTGAAGGATAAGCCTTCATTGAACTTTGCTGACCGTTGGCTTCCCAATGGATGAACGCTATTGAGAAGCAAACTGCTTCCTAGGTACGCATGTCAGCACAGACGGTTGTTCGGGGTTCCCGTCTGAGCTGATTGCTTCACTTATCCGCTGCATGCACTCGATGCAAACGTTCGTAAGTAAATAGGTTTCAACCAGTCAGCTTCAATCTTCTGACCAGATTTACCCAAGAATACGATCAACTGGAGTTCAGGATCGGATCCACAGCTATCTTATTGTTCAAATGTCTATCTAAAAGATGAACATAGAACATGAGCAAGTGCGTTTAGGTTTGAAAATGAGAAGCGTAGATATAGTCATGACCGGGAACAAACCTAACCAAAGTGGCAACCACTTACCAAAGCATGTCACTTTGTCTCAATAAACTTTCATTAGATAACCTCGCTAATGTCACGGGTTACTAAAAGCACCAGCTGCTGCTCCATCATAGAGTATATTGAAAAGCAACCGAACTGTCGTCAGTCAGAGTCGATCGATCTTCTAGGCGAATGCATCACTTGATGTGGCAAAAAGCTCTCGAAAACAGCTGACATCCACAATTTTCAGTCTCTGAGAATGAAATCTGTTTATTTTCCGTTTTCAGAAGAGTGGGCCACCAGAAACGGAGTGGATTCAATGTTGGATAAGTCATCAGCTGCCTGACTAGGATTATCTTACTCCGATTGCACCTACTTGCATGTGGTGCATTATTTGCTGTTTCCACTGCCACCAAACCAAACAGAGCACTCCAGTCACTGTACGATCTGCGAATTTACTGTTACTCTCCACATTGAAACTGACAGCTTGTCAGTTATTCGCCACGATTATCAAGACTATTGCTATGAGACTTGGTGCACATCTGTGCTCGGAAGAGAGGATGGATTTTTCAAACCGAAGATCTAACCATGCCTGGACGCAGCATTGCACGAAGCTGGTGGGGTAACCGGACTAGCAATGCTGAGGTTAGGCGTAGAGTTTTAGGCGGTCGCAGCAAGTGATCGACCTCCATAGATTACGCTGGTTGGGACATGTCACCAGATAGGTTGCCACGGCGAACGATGTTTGCCAAGGCTGGTAGCGATTGGACGAAGGGTGGTCAAGCTAAGACCTGGCATGAGGGTATGAAAACCCTAACCAGGAGACTAGATCACATAGGCAGTGGTCAAGCTAAGACCTGGCATGAGGGTATGAAAACCCTAACCAG